TAAAAAGTATCATGACTCTTATATGACAACAATGCAGCAATTCTTTAAAAAAACGTTTCGGAGATCTGTTTCAAGTTTCCTCCTATTGATTGTGGTGATGCCAATCTCTGGTTCAGTAATGAGATTCTCTGGCCTCCATCAAACTAACAGTCTTTCATTTTGGTTTGGATTAAAATTAATCAATGGTAGTGGGATCAAGAAAAAATACATGTTGAATACACCTTCTCTTCCATCAGATTTGCTTTGTGATTTGCTTTGTTTCTTGATTGTAACAATTGAACTTTCAACAGCTAGAACAATCATCAAATTGATTTTGTGTAAATTGACTTATTCTTTTTTCCAACACCCAATCTTTGTAAAACAGATGCCAATGTAATTCTCCATAATGAATTTAATGCAGTAAAGGAATTTAATGCAGCCGCTTTCATAATGACTTTAGCAATTGTAATTGTGAAAAGAAAAGGGGTTGTGATTTTTCAGTGTGGAAAAGATCATCAATGAAGATAAACTCCCAAAGTGAGGTAATTCAAGGCTGAAGACCAGAAGGAGAGGCCTTAATCTTGGTGACTAAGTTAATGTTTGTTTTGAGCTTGTATTTGACATCTCAATTGAAATATGGCATCTCCTTTTGCCAGCTACCAACTAGCATTGTGCTGAGTCATTAGTTTCCCCTGGGGAACACTGGTTGTGGATTCATTAATATAATTTCACCTGGCACCATCCCTGAGACAGAGGTGAAACTTTCCTCTCTGAATCAGAAACTTGCTAGCTCAGTCTATACTCGTTTGACATTGTATGTGATATTGACCCCAGGAAATGGCAAGAGATTATCAAAAGATTATTTGGGCAATCAGCCATATGAACTGAATCCTTTTCTTCAATAATTTATAGTTTCTTTATATATTCTATTATTGATTCTTACAGCTCATAGAAAGATATGGCCATGATTTTGACATTGTGTTTTGAAAACAATTTACAAGTGATCTGAAGACATGATGCTTCTAAAATTAACTTTAAAAAACAAGAAAGTGGCTGATTTATTCCTTCTTTGTTTTGAACAGTATGTAGGTGTTTAGTTAATTATAATTAAGATGTAATTGAGGTTGGGCCTCCCCGGTGGCACAGCGGTTGAGTGCTTCGGTCCTTCTGCCTGCTCTGCTCCCCGCTCTGGCTCTGGTGAATTATCTCACCCTCCCGCGTTTCTGACTGTACCCAGTGCTTGTATAAAAAAATAAATAAGTAAATGAATGAATGAATGAATAAATAAATAAATAAATAAAATCTTAAAAAAAAAAGATGTAATTGAGGTTATGAAAATAAAAGCAGGTTAAAGTGAAGAGCTGAATGATAATTGTAAATAACCCATTTACTTGAGGGACTTTAGATCAACCTCAGATATAATAAATATCTATGCCACTTAACAAAAGGAAATAGCCCTTTTTTAATTATCAAAGATATTAGTATTGGCATTGCTAATATCTGTGTAAGTAAAGAAATATATAAAGAATAAAAACATTTGGAACAGCAAGAATAGATTCTAATTCAATATCTTTTTACCAGGAGATACTGAGAAATTATTTAAGCTCTCAGAATCTCACTTTACTCATCAAAATGTAAAGAATATTTATTTTATATGGTTATTGAGAAGAGTAAGTGAGAATTCACATTCTAGTAGAATATCTAGCATATGATTTAGAATTAGCGTATTCCTATAATATCATCTCTCTGTACTAAAGATTTGACATTAATACATTTGCAGCAATTTAAAAAATCAAGTTTTAAATAATAATAATTTTTATGTCACAATGGAATTTTTGACATTTAAAAAACCATGTGGTATTAGATATTCAAGGATACAGAAAAAGCATAAATGATTTTGGGAGGGTGTGCTATTATTTATGCAATAGTTATTCTTGAAACGCTCTCTTTAATGGAGAAATCTAATCCCTAAATTGAAATTTTAAATTCAGTTTTGGCAAATGGATGTACAGTGGTTCTAAAACCATTCATTTCATTTAGGTTATGAAATATGTTCGTAGTATTCCTTTAGTGTTTTTCTAATGTCCATAGAATCTGTAGTGAACTTTTTTCATTCATTAATGACATTTGTAATTTGTGTTCTCTCTCTTTTTTCTTATTTAATGTAACTAAAGATGTATAGTTTTATAATATTTTCAAAGAACAAATTTTGAGTTCATTCATTTTCTCTATTGATTTTCATTTTCAATTTTATTTTCTAATTTTTATCATTTTTCTCCTGCTTAGTTTGGATTTAATTTACCAGACATTTTATAATTTCCTGAAGTAGACACCTAGATGATTAGTTTTAGATCTTTCATATATATACAAAATTAAATGTTGTATATGACTTTTGCCACATCCCCCCAACTTTGATTAGTTGTGCTTTAATTTAGTTACAAATATTTCAAATTTTTTCCTGAGACTTCTTTGACAGATATGCTGTTTAGAAGTTTATTTTTAAATCTCTGATTACTTTGTGATTTTTCTTTCATTCTGTTATTGATTTTTTATTTAATTCCACAAAGAGTGGAAATTGGATGATCATTCCAAGTGAGCTTAAGACAAATGTGTATTCTGCTGATATTGGATAAAGTAATCTTTTGACAATTTTGTCCATTCAATTAATAGTTGTTGTGTAATTCAACTATGTCCTTACTGGTTTCTGCCTGCTGGATATGTCCATTTCTGATAGAGGGTTGTTAAAGTCTCCAACTATAATAGTCAAAAAAAAAAATTTGTGGTGGAAAAGTGCATGTGATGTTCAGTTGTAGTGTGAGGCAAAATACTTTTTTGCAAACATTCATGTAGTCTTCATGGTTGATAATTTGATTATATAGAATAATATTTGCCTACTCAGAGTTCTTCTGAATATAGTGTTCTCTGAAAATAAACTTAAGAATCATCTTGAAAGGTTTTACTTGCTTTCTGCCTTTTTAACAAGATATGCTCATTGTACATGACTTCATCTATATTTAATGCTGTATTGTAAATCTGAACATAAATTACAGATAGTGTTATCTTTAGAAACTCCTAAATTATCTGTTAATTTTGACCCTGCATCCCACTATTCTTGTGAATATGTTTTACCATTTTTTCTTCCTCCTAGCTTTTATTGTCATTGCTCACTTCTCAATATTGTACCTTAGTTTGTTTATAGTCAACTATAGTCTTATTAAAATTAAGAAAGATGGAACTAGTTAATAAATGTGGACACCAATTCACAACATTTTTGGTAATTTCTTAAAATCATAAATATAAAACTACTGTATAATAAACAGTCCCACTCCCAGGGAGAGAGAAATTACAATGTAAGTCCATGTGAAGACTTACACACAAATGTTCTTAGCAATGCTATTTGTAGTAACCCCAAACTGGAACAACCTAAATGTCCACCAACTAGTGAAGGAAGATAAAATATGGCATATTCTTATAATAGTATGTAGTTCAACAACAAAACAACTATTGAGACTAATCATGGGTGAAACTCAAAAACATTAAGAGAAAGAAGTCAGACAGTGCTACAGAACTGAAGCACCAAGGGAACTATGGCATGAGAGGGGGCAGGATGTGAGAACAAAGAGGGAGCCCACAAACCATGGGCTATGGTGGTGGGCACTATGGGTGATTTGGTGGTGGGTGCACTATGATGCTGATCCCTGGGTTTCCAATATTACCCCAATTAAAAATAAATTAATTAATTAAAAAAAGGAAAGAAGTCAGATGAAAGAGACCACATGTAATATGATTGTATGAACTGCTCAGAAAAAGCACATTTATAGAGACAGAAAGTAGATTAGTGGTTGCTTGGGTTTTGGGGTGTGAGGCAAGGTTTACTATAAATGGAATGAGGGATCTTCTGGCAGGAATGAAAAATGTTCTAGAATTGACTTATGGTGATGATTGTGCCACTTTTACACTTTCTATAAATTATGACTGCACTCTTAAATTGAGAAAATTTGTCAATATGTGAAATATACTTCAATAAAGTTGTTAAATAAAAGGCAAAAATGAAAATAAATGTGGGCCTCTCCTAAGAGTAAATAGAACTATTTGAGCTTTAGATAAAAACTTTATAATCTTTTCAGCTGCTCAGAGAATTATGTGAGTTCCTGCTCTCCCCTTCTGTTTCTGTAGGTAAAGTTGTTTGATAATGAATTTCCAGTTAGATGAGGTGCTTAATAAAGTATTCTTCCTGTTAATATTTTTTATAATGTATGAGTACTAATAGCTCACATTAGACTAGTAGAGACTTTTAGCGTTGCATGTAGTTTATAAAAAATACAATAAAATCAACATTACTGGGGCCTCCCTGGTGGCACAAGGGGTCAAGACTCAGCACTGTGAAGCTATCTGCAGCTACTGCAGCATGAGTTAGATCCCAGCCAGGGAGCTACTCTCATGGTGCAGCAGATCTCTTCCTGTCTCACCTGCTGCTCCCCTCAGCAGTGTGTATTTCAGTCAGTCAGCCTGTTCTGTTCCCTGCTCTATCTCTGGTGAATCCTCTCACCCCTGACAACTCTGGCCTGTATCCCAGTTCTTGTATGCATAAATAAATAAATCTTTAAAAAAAAAAGAGAGAGTCTTTCATTGAATAGTAACAATGAAATAAAAAAAAAAAAACAATAATATAACATTGTTCTGATGTTGTTTTTTGAAGCGAGACTTCCTAGTCACCCAGTGTAAAGAGTCATTGTGCTTCTAGAAACGCTGATTTACATGCTCTTAAACAGTTGGTTAACCTGGCAAAGAATTCTTAGTAGTCTGGCTGTGCTGACATTTTAAAGCATGAACTAAATGCCTTAATACTTCTGTGGTGGGAGAAAGGGAAGGATCAAAAACAGGATAGGATCAAAGTATGTTTTTGGTATGCATGTCATTTACTCCCAATTACAATGCTTTTAATTATCTCAAGGAAACAGTGAGTACAATTTACTTGGACTCTGTGTTGGAAGCTACAATTGTTATCTTCTTATTTCCAGGTGGAGCACCAGTATTCCCACAAGTTCACAGTGACGGTGTTGCGTGCCACCAAAGTGACAAAGGGGGCCATCGGTGACATGCGTAAGTTCTTTTATTTGCTTTTCTATTGCAAATTCATAGTTAGGGTTTCCCTTTAGATTATCCAAGTTCCTTGACGGGTTCCTTCTTCAAACAGGTCATCTCTATCTAGATCTTTGAATGATACTGTTCTGAGCAGTTCTTGATGCTTTCATTTGTCTGAATATTACTTCCTGTTGGCTTTTTAGTGGAGAGAGCATGGAGTCAGACAAAACGATTGTTTTATACAATACAGATCCTGGAATTCAATGAAATTGTATTTCATTCTGTCTTGGAAAGAGTGCTTAGTCAGGACTTCAAATAATCTTCTCTGTGAGGTATTATGCTTTTAGGATTAAAAAACTGCCATCTGACTCTGAAGCCTTTGAATAGGTTTATCATGTGTGGAAATAGAAGTGACTGTAGCTTCTATTTTAAGTGACAGCTTAAAATAATGCAACATAGCTAAGGAAAATGTTGAATTAACTTGCTGGCAGTATCCCTCTCCATGCTTTTAAAAGCAGTTTTCTGTTTAATGTTACCACCCTGAATCATGGAAATGGGATTAAAAAGAAAGATGGGTATTATGATGAGTTTAGTTGAGTTTTAGATTATTTATAATATATGGGAAAGACAATGGCAATTTAACTCAGGAAAAGATTTTAAGGAAAGGACAGAGATTACACTTTACCCATCTGGAAAATGGGGAAGGCTTTCTTGCCTAAGTGATATTGTAAATTGTAAACTCTTAAAGGAGAAATATCTCAGTGATGAGAGCAGGTAGAAGCTTTGGGCAAATAGATAGCATGTGCAAAGTGCAAAGGAGAGCAGAATTATAGAGAGCAGTGTCATTTGAGAATATAAAGCAAAGGTAAAGGAGCAATAGGTTGACAAGGACTAAGGTTGACATTTTATCAGAAATACAAGAATGTGATGGCATTTGTGAGTTGTGGCAATGAGAGTTGCAGTCACGTGATGGATTTTCATTTTTAAAAATGTTTGTTCTGACCCCAGTATGTTAAATATATTGGGGGTGAATGTGAAATTTCCTTTTTAAAATTTTTTATTGAAGTAACTTTGCTTTACAACATTACATAAGTTTCAGGTATACCTCATTATAAATCAGTGTGTGTGTATATTGCATTAAATTCAACAGTAGAAGTCCAATTCTATCCTTTACCATATAGTTCACCCTTTTTTTTTCCCTCAATTTTTTTTTTTTTTTTTTTTTTGGACCCTTGCCGGCTGCCAGGAAATGAACTGGTGCTGCAGAGGTTGCGGGCAGCCTTGCAGCCCAGCGCTCAACCGCTGCGCCACGGTGGGAGGCCCTATAGTTCACCCTTTTTACCTGATTTATTCACCTTCCTTTTCCCTTTCCTTCCAGTAAGCACTAAGCCATCTTACATCTACATTTATTTTTGTTTTATTTAGTCCATGTGCTTGTTCTGTTTCTCTGCATACCACAGAGTGAAATACTGTTAGTTGGAATAAACATTTCTAATTCAACTAAAGGCTGTGTCTCTAACTTGTTGGGCAGGCATGCCATTCACCTAATTTGAATTTGAAAAATAGTTCTCTCTTATGCAAAACGCAGGAAGGCTTTCTATAAGTACAGCCTCTGTTATGCGGAGCCTCAGGTGGTTACTAGGGTTGAGTCCAATAGCAGTTCAAACTCTACACTGTGAGTCTCCTTTAACTGTTGTGCATCTGATTTCTTAGCTACATTTCCCATAGGCTGTAGGCATGATCGTGATGAGAGTATTTGTGATAATTAGCACAGAGAACTATCTTTTGAAGGGTCAAAACTGATATTTCAGGGGGCCTCCCTAGTGGCACAAGGGGTTAAGTCACAGCACTATAAAGCTATTGAAAGCCAGTGCAGCATGAGTTTGATCCTCAGCAAGGAAGCTGACCCATCTGACGCAGTAGACCTCTCCTGTCTCGCCAGTTGCTCCCCTCAGCAGTGTATTTCAGTTAAACCACCTGTTCTGCTCCCCACTCTGTCTCTGGTGAATCCTCTCACACACACCCCTCACCTCTGGCCTGTGCCCCAGTTCTTGTATGCATAAATAAATGAATCTAAAAAAAAAAAAAAAAAAAAAAAAAAAAAAAAAAAAACCCTGACATTTCAGTTATAACATCTCACTTATTTCCTTGTTTTCACCTGAGGCCTGGGACAGCCAAGAACTAAGAGCTGCCAGTCCTTTCCCAGACATGCCTGCTAATTTCACTATTACTCAAATGTTCCATTTAGACCCAGTTGCCCATGCCAACCCTTCACTGTATCTTTATGCTCATGTCATACAAAGAGGCAGTTTGAAATTTTGGTTTGTACTTGGCTCACCATAGTCTTATTTTTAAACTAAGTAACTTGCAGTATTTTGGCAATACTAACATAACTCTTACTTTTTAAAGATATAGGAAGTTGTAGTGGATGTAACAGAGCATGTCAACACTGTGACTGGTGCTAAGGTATTGGTTGGATGAATTTTAAGCTCTATTTATATTCTACCTACAAATATATACCGAAGGACTGCACGACAGTAAAATTTCAATTGGTAATAGTTTCCTTTGTCCATATATGCAAAGAGACATTCACCTCTGGTTGCAAACCTCATTTTATAACCAAAATAAATGACTGGTGCAACACAGCGACTAACTCACTGAATTTCCACTCCTTTTAAAAAGTGTTGGAAAAATACAGCTCATGCGTGATATGGAGCAAGTCTCAGAATTCAGAATTTGATACAGTCCTATTTCTTTCCCTGAGATTATCAAATAATGAATACCATAATGTTTTTGAAGCAATAAAATATCATACCGACGTTAGATATGTTTAATATCCTGATTGTACACAAGTACTGGGGATTCTTGTTGGCTTTCCTTTGACACTGCACCCTTTCTCCTTCCAGAATCAGCATCTTATGTTAGGGCTCTGAGGACAGTTGCAGACTGCAAACAGATCTACTTTCCTTCCATATTTAGAAGACCCCTGTTTAATGTCAACATTTAAAAGTGAAGAAAAAATAAATATCCTTGGAAGAGCTATGGATTGTATTTAAATCAACATCTGTGTCTTGGATAAGTGATGTTTCATTTCAGATAACCTCATAGTAAGATCTAGATCAAGTTCCTAATTTTTAAACGGCTGTGCCATTGCAGGTCTAAGGCTGACCTTAACTCTCAAGCAGCTTCGCAAACTTTAATGTCCATGTTACTGGGGGCTCTTGTTCAAAATGTAGAATGTGATCAGTAGATTTGGAGAATAGATTTTGCATTTTTAATATACAAGTGACACAGACATCACTGGTCTGTGGACCACATTTTGGGAGGCAGGCTCTAGACAGTGTCTTTCATGAGGTCTGCAGAGCTTATGAGCAAAAAAAGTCTTTAAATATTCTGAGAAGGGATATGCTTTTAAGGTTTTTGTTCTGTGTTGAGCTTACTTTTTTAATAAAATAGCCATGAACTCCCTAATACTTTTTAATTCCTATATTTTTTTAAAAAATACATCCTCAGTGAGAAGGATGGAAATAAACCTGTAACACAATTATATTCTGAAACTCCAAAAATCTTTAATATTGTAATCATGATCATACCGGATTTCAAAAAAGTAGGGCATATATTTTTTTTGTTTCAAACTTCACAGCACTTGAAGTTAAATGATCAAATCTATGGCATGTACTATGTGCACACAGATTCTTAAATATATACTTTCCTTTGTGTACATAAATATATCCTCCATAAATATTTCAACATTGAATGAAATATTTATGCTCTTCTCTCAAATGAAGTTTAATGCTCTCTCGCCTTATTTATGATTATGTGATATCTGGGACTGAAGTAAGAGCCCAGTAAGGGTATTTACTAGGTGCTCTATGTTTAACCACTGTAATGTTTGAAATATTATTTACCTTTCCCTTGCAAAGGGAAACGTGTGAATGTGAAATAAAACCTTAATTTTAAAAACTTTTTTTAAAGTTGAGTGACTCTCAGCCTCCTTTTCATATGCTAGAGTAAATTCTCTGCCAAAAGTCATTATACTTCTATACTGAGATGGTGTGATTAATATAATTAAGTTTAAAAACAGGTTAAATATTTCAAATTTTCAAATAAAAATATGCTCTGAATGTTTTTATGTTAAAGAAAATGCCTTTGTGATTCTAAAAGTTTAAGCACTTACGTGAAAATATTTAGTATATGTTATTTTGGCATACTTCAATATTTTGAATTTTTCCTTAAAAATTATGGAACAGAGAGACTGAAATGCCTAGTTAAAGTTAAACTTAGCTGAGGTATAGTCTGGGAGTCTTTATAAATTTTCCTGAATCCTTGGAAGTCCGTTTCCAGTCTCCTTCCTCTCTTGATATATCAATATATATATATATATATATAATTTATTTAATATTTCTTGGGGATTAGACAGTTTATTCCATTTTTTTAATTTAAATTTTATTTTTATATTCCCCCTTATTTTGACCCCAGTCCCTCCTTTCCCTGCCCCCCACCCCCTATAGAGTGTCTCTGGTTCATAATTGTTTGTTGATTTTGATTTTTACTTTCTTATAGTTATTCTTTTTCGTGGTCTCTTAATTAAGTTTTCTAGATTCCTGCTATGAGTGAGACCATTCGGTATTTTTCTTTTTCCTATATTTTTAATGAAATATTTCCGATAAAATTGTAAATAATTATTTTAAGTTGTTAGACCAGAATAATTCAGATTTCCAGATGCAATATGAAATGACAATCTTGAAATTTTAATTTTGGAAAAGAAATGTTAAAAAAATATAATTCAGTGTTTTGTTTTTTTTTTCTTTCTTTCAGTAAGACACTATTATCAATAAATGCAACCACACACTATATGCTACAGTATTCATTCAGTGACTTGAAGAAAAAAAGATAAGCAGAAGGCTTGTGGTAGATAGCATCACTGAATGTCTTTATGAGCCTGCAGAGGAAGCTAGAACTGGCTTGCTTACTTTCAAGTGCCCCTTCCACTCTTTATTAGCCACATAAATTTAGAC